AAAACCCTTTGGTACTTTTTGAGAAATAACGATAATAAACTTTCACGATCAAAATCCAAGATGGCTGCCTGTCGGCCATGTTTATCCGATCAGTACCACCGTCTTGCTTAGTCACCGATAGTTGATGGATTTGCTGCGTACAGATGGATACCTCTCTCTACATCTACATAGTAATGATTTGTTTGTTTGTTTGTTTGATTTTGTTTAACGTCCTATTAACAGCTAATGTCATTTAAGGACGGCCTCCCCTGTGTGCAAGTTGCATGCGCGTAGTGTATGTGTGTGATGTCTTGTATGAGAATGTTGTTCAAATTCTGATTTTTAATACTTTGTAATACGGACAAAGAGTCGGAACAAATTATTGCTTTGTTAATTTTGTTATTTTCAATTTCATCCAAACCCAACGGTAGTAGCTTCAGCTTTAAAAATAGATGCGTTATTTGGTAATCGGCAGGAAAAAGATATGTTGTTAGTTAACTTATTGTTTCCCGTTGGGCTCCCTCATTATTTCTTTAAAGGGAGAAAATATTCGCTACATCATTATAGTTTCCCCCTTGTATTACTTTTTAGATGGATACCTAGCTGTCATCTCGGAAGAAACAAAAACATACCAGAAGTGGCAGCAAGGATATTACTGGAAGGGCATGAAAGAGGATGTACTTTCATTCGGCAGAGACTGTGATCAGTGTTGTAGAGTCATCCGTTGACCAGTGAAAACTGTTCCTCCACTTAACTTTATTCCAGTGCCATCAACTATTTGGAGCCTTGTTGGAATCAACATTGTTGGAGCCCTGCCAATAATCGACACTGGAAATAAATAAATACATTGTGGAGGCTACATATCACTTTTCAAAGTGGTCAGAAACATGTGCGATGGGAGAAAAAACTGCTGTCATTCGGGATTGTGTGTGCAGATTTAGGCCTATAGATTCCATTATAACGGACCAAGGAAAGGAGTTCACAAACAGGGTCGTAGACTACCTGGCATATGAGCTAGACATACCACAGAATCTCCTCTGCATACCATCCCCAAACAAATGGACAGCGACAGCGTTACAACATGACTTTACAGGAAATGTTGGGTAAAGTAACAAATGAACATGCGCCTGATTGGTATGCGTTCCTCCAGAGTGCATTGTTTGCCTACAGAACAAGTGTTCATTCATCAACGAAATGTACACCATTTAAAGTCATGCATGACCGCAAGGCTAAGACTGCTGTGCAATCAGGGAAGTTCCACACACTAAACTTCCCAACGATGTTCTCGTCAATATAAAAGAAAGAAGAGAAGACGTAAAGGACAGCAACAAGAACAATATCGAACTAGCCCAGGAGGGATAAAGAAAAAATATGATTTTATTCCTTTTCCTATTGTATCCATTATCCTCATGAGAATTACAAGTAAGACAATGAAATTTGGAAATTTTGAATTTACAGGGTTATCGATTTTAAGAGCTTGTTGTACATCGGGATATCGAGGAAAATAGCAGACAGCTGAGCGGCTACATCGAGGGGAGGAATTGGATGTGTTTAAAGAATTTGAGCGTGATGCACATACATGAAATGGATTACTAGGAAAAGAGCAGACAATTGTGCATCTACAACGAGGGGAGGAAATGGAGCTTGAAGCACATACAGGAAATGGAAAAAAGGGCAGACAGATGGAAATGGAGGAAAACAGCAGACAGCTGTGCAGCTACACCGAAGGGACTTTGATAGTGTTGTTTTCTTGGGGGCAGAGGATGTTGATAGTGAATATGTTCCAGACACTGATTGGAATGATGATGAAAAAGAGGATTGTGAAAAAGAAACAAACATTTTTCATATGGTTCCTCGAGATACAGAGAGCGATGAAAAGTCAAGGTGACATTATTCCAATTTGTTCAAATGCTGTGGACCACCATCCCCGACCAGCCACTCATCATTAAAGATTGGAGGAAGAGGGGGGGGGGGGGGCATCCTCAGGGGGAGTTGCAGCGATTCCTCAACCGTGATATACCCCCGGAGGCAATTGCCTGTAAGGCCCTGGAGGGTCATATACTCAATTGTGTAAGAATAAAGCTTATCTTGATCTCCTTTTTATAAATACATGTAGCCAACTGCTTTACCGCTCGTATGTTCATTTGCAATGTTGTTAATCTGAATTTTATATGTATTCGAGTAATATAATGTTACTTACAGTTAGTACTATTTTAACTCACTGCCCCTACCTCTCACATGACCACCCCCAACATGTCTACCTGATATAAGACCACCTCGGATAGGACCACTCCATACACGCCGGCCTCAACACTACCCACGACTGCTGTTCCGGTATTAATACCACTTGCAGGTGATGATTTATCTCTAAAACAATACATTTAGAAAAATGTTATTATCTTTTAAACTTATTTTTTAACTAATTTTATTTCCATTTCAGTTATGGTCTCCATTTATGTGGTGTTGCCATTGTTGTTGGCAGTAATTTTCAGACGGTGGAAGTGGAGGAGGTAAAGGTGTTTGCCAGAATGTTTCCGTTAGTAGATTCTAATTTTATAAGGAAAAATATGTACAATATATATACGGTAGTGGTCTCCTGTTACATTTTGAGTATTGGTATAGTTTTTTTACTACATACATTTATATAAAGCTAATCTGTCTCTGCTAAGTTAACACTAATTAAACTAGGGTCTATTTTTGAGGTCTTTCTACAATTGTATATTTTAAATTGTAGCGGAACTAGAGGACATCCCCTCCCCTAGGACACCACCATTAGGTCAGAGTATGTCGCAATGATGCAAGTACTAATTCAACTGGGGTCTATTTTTTACACGTGTGCTTGTTGACTATATTCGTTGTGAGGTTATCGCTGAATGCTTTTGGTTTGACATTTACATAGTCAAATATTTTTGATACAGTAACTCTTAAGCGTAAAATGTGAAATACATACCAAGACACGATGCCAGACATGATGTTTTAAACATTGCGCCAAAAAGTATTTGCTGCGGGACTAGACTCTACTCGGGGGTTTCAAGTTAATCATTGCGGTAAAACAGCAAATTCTCCGAAAAAGTGCATGATTAAATGTATCAGACAAATTATTACACAATTAATCATGATGGATTACTTAATTAGAATTCAAACCGAAGTTATCCCCGCAGATCACTGGAAAAAAACCCATAAGTGTTGAAAATCTTCATTTGAAATTTGGCGGTACCGGTAGTGCTCTGACGAAGCTGCTTCCCTTGTGTATGCGTGCTGTGACCCATATCAGTATAGCATATGTGTGATTGTAACGTGACCCTGTGATCAAACCAAAAGCATTCAACGACCACCTCACAAGGAATATAGTCAACAAACACGTGTGTAATAACAACAGAGGATTAATCATACCCGATAGTACGACACATCAGTACAAACATTCATTCTTTGTTGACACGTGCATTCATTGGAACCATCTACTAGACTCCGTTGTGCGTGCTGTTACCATAAAGAGCTTTAAGACCGCTGTACAGGAGCATCGCTAATAAATCAGGCGCTCTCTCTTCCGTTGTAAGATAATACACTGTAGACAGCAGTGGGACGAAATGACTACTTGGACAGGACAATAATTTCAGACGAATCGGCTACGTTAGTTTCATTTTAAATGGTTATTATTTAAACCCCATTTATAATTATGTTATTATCAATGCATATCTAACATTCAATGACATAATACATGGAAAGCGCTTGATCAGTTGTTGTCGATTTTCACCTTCATAATATCGATACACTTCAGACAAACAGACTCTGTTTGATGTGAAAATCATTGCAGACGAATCGGTGCCCAGTTTTTCTGGATCGTTTCAATTTCTGGCTATTAACCTTTGTGTAGTATGTGTGTCTTCTGAACTAAGGTGGATTCTTCTTTATTTGATACCACGGATCTGATGCCGGCGATATAGTGGGCTTACCTTGCTGAAATGTCAGCTATTGATAGTATATAGTGTCTTCATGGATGGATGATTGGATCATTCCCGGATTGAACCGAACTTTTAGTTATTAACATAACAAACACACCATTCAAGGTCTTCACACATGGAACTTCCGGTTTTATTGCGCATGTCACATAACATGAATGATTCACGTTACATATACAAATGATAACGAATGTAGATATTATTAAGCTTATCAATAACATATAGTATACGAATACTACAGATAGAGAGTTATGTTTGTAATAGGACGAGTCGGGGCTCCGGGCAATTCACGCACCTACTCTGTATCGCCCTCTTGTTGTAGAATTGTAATAAATACAATCAGAAATCGTTTCCGACACATGCTTATTTGCAGAGAAAACACAACAACATCCTTTCTCACAAAACTGAAGAGCTACAATCTTACTATTTTTATATTATGGGAGTTATCTCATCCTTAACGCATATAAGTAAGATTTCAGTACTGAGCCCAAATGTGTGACATGCTAATAAAAAAATAGAATTGTTCTAACTGCTATTTATTTGTCATTATATAGTACCCACATTACCACTTTGTAAGAAAATACATAGTTGTATTAACCAGTTTTCTATACAATGATTTCAAATCTTGACTTCAGTCAATATTACGTTCATAACTCGGTGTCCTTTTTTTAATCATTACTCTTATATCCTAAAGGAACCAAAGTTATTTCTTTCCTTCACAACAATCCAAGGACATGCCCTGTCTATAGTGTCTTCATAGATGGATGATTGGATCATTCCCGGATTGAACCGAACCTTTAGTTATCAACATAACAAACACACCATTCAAGGTGTTCACACATGGAACTTCCGGTTTATTGCGCATGTCACATAACATGAATGATTCACGTTACATATACAAATGATAACGACTGTAGATATTATTAAGGTTATCAATAACATATAGTATACGAATACTACATTCTCTTCCCTTTTCCTAAACTTTGCGCTATCTTAATTATCAATACGAAAGTTTGTATCTGACCTAAACATTTATCAAATAGAAAACAAACACAATTCAAATAAATTTACATTTACCAGAATTTATTACTAAGTTGGTTGGCATATGAAGGCCAAGGCTTCAACCTCACATGAAAATGAAAAAATATTTGATGGAAACTGGGACCAGAAAATTCCACCAAAGAGTAACTGTTATTATAGAATTGATATCGATCCGCATGTTCTGTTGTGGAAAATGGAAATTCTGCCAAATGACAACATGGTGAAACGATGAGCAGACCAATGTTGTCACCGCCACAACAGAAAATGATAGGTAACTAGAAATCCTTCCCAAATTCAAATTAAATTTCTGTTATAGTGAAAAATGAAAATATACAAAATTGGACAACGATTTTAAATATAACAAAAATTAGCTGGAAAGATGACACCGAGCAAAATGTCCCAAAGATTTTGCGACAAAAACAAAATTTAGTCTCACCGACCCAAACAAAATATGGGCGAAATATGGTGACCTCCAAATACCAGCAAATTCAAATAAATCTGGTCAACTTAATTTTGTAATCGTGAAAAATGAAATATACAAAAGTTTTGCCAAAATTGGAGAACGCTTTAAATATCAAATTGAGCTGGAAATTGACACCAAACAAAATGTGTCCAAGATTTTGCGACAAAAGCAAAATTGAGGTTCACCGACCCAAACAAAATATGGGCGAAATATGGCGACCTCCAAATACCAGCAAATGCAAATAAAATTTGGTCAACTTAATTTTGTTATAGAGAAAATTGATTTTAAATATACAAAATTTTGCCAAAATTGGAGAACACTTTAAAATATCAAAATGAGTTGGAAAAATGACACCAAGCAATCATTGTTAAGATTTTGCAAAAAGCAAAAGGAATATCAAATTGTGAGAATGTTGGCCAATTACCTACTACAATTGTATGAAGCAAGTAAAGTTTATGTAGCAGGAGCAAGATCATAAATGTTGACATGAGGCATAACGGTTAGGTACTGAAAATAGAATTAAATATGCTGCCAAGGCCCAAACTCCCCAAACGGTGGTGATACCTTAGCAGGTGTGGATAAAAACTTTTGCAGGCCCTGTTGTAAACGATACAAGAACAAATCGTTTCCTAGGGGACTTAAATGGACATCATCACAAAAAAGAGCCGGATTTTTATCTGTGATTTCCGGATACCTAATATAACCACCCCCATTCCCAACAATATATGAAGCAACCTGACTATTTATTCTAACAGGAATTCGCCTCACTGATGAATGGTTTACTTCCCCCCTCCACTTGAGACGTGGGAGGATGGCGGACCACACTAATCTGGTTTGAGGTAGCAAAATTGCTATTTGTTTTAGATCCTGAAGGATCTGTTGTCTCAAAAACCCTGAATTGGATTGGGCAACATCATTCCCTCCGCAGTGAATTACAAGTATGTCTGGAGGATCATCGATGGGAAGCAAAAGCTTAATGTGACTCAAGAGGTTCCTCCACCTCAGCCCACCCCTGGCGTGCCATAGAATGCTTGCTCTGTATCTGTCCAAGTCTAGCTGTGATGTGTCGCAGGATTCCCTAGCACGGCAAAAGGCCCGCCGTATGATCGAGGAACCCACTATCCAGATTGTTGATTGGAAACCTACAACTTAAGCTTAAAATAAGCCTTGGGTCGCGAAACTAAATGAGTTTATCTGTTGGAATTCTAATATAAGTCTTGAAGGCTCTTGATTCCCATCGACCTAACTCTTTAATTTTTTCCTCAGTAAAGCCCTTCATGGAAGCTAAGGTTGCTGCCCCAACCCTGAAAGAATGAGACTTGTAACGGTTTGTGCTTACTCCGATGGCCCTCAATGATTTACTTAACACTGCAGAAAATTGGTACCTAGTGACAGGGTTATTACCAATATGACAGAAAAATACCCCAGGAACCTGGCTTCGGAGTGCCAGGAAAAGCTTTATAAAATGAAAGGGACAGATACCAGACCCATTCCTTTGCACTATAAGGACAACCCCCTTTCCCTCCTGGTCAGTTTTTGAATGAGGTAATTTAATTTTCAAAGTTTTCTCCCTATCACAAACTTCAACATTATGTGCTAACAGAGCATGACCAGCAACCCCTTGCTTGGTGACGACTAGCTCACCTACCCGCAAAAAGGCATAAAATGCTAATGTAAAAATAGCAGAAAAAAGAACTGCTTCATAGGAAGTGTGACAAACTACTGGGAGTATACGAACTATCTTGAATAGTAAGTCAGGGGTAATGGGAAGACGACTGTCCACCCTCTCCGTTAACCTAGACATTCCGTTCAACATTTTTTTTATTAAAAAGAACTGTGTAACATCTATATGACCATCCATTTTACACTTAAAACTAACCCCTGAGAGATAGGATTTAACTGTCGATGGTGCAACGCCTTGGGCTGACAGGTGGGCTACAAATTCTACTATACTTTGTAGCGTGGGGGGCCACACTCTGCTAATGTTGTGACAAGTACGAAAATGTTCGAAACGCTGTAAGCCCGATGAATAAACCTGCTGGGTACTTTTTGCTAAGGACGCATTCAGTAGCCTGTCTACTTCAGCCTGGAGATTAACTGCTGAAATTCCTGAGGGATTTCTGCTGGTACCAGAGACGCCCGAGGAGCCAGCATACGAAACCTTGACCACTGCTGTCGAGAGATAGCATCAGCAATATCATTAGATGCGCCCTCAATATGAACCGCCTTACACTGGATGTTGAAAAACATACATTTTAATATGAAAGGCCGTAACAATGACATTAATCTACAGGATTTAGAAGTTTTCTTGTTGATAATAGCAACAAGTCCTTTATTGTCTGTATTGAGCATAATTTTTTTGTTTTTTAAATCAGGACCCCAAATGAATAGAGCCAAGACAATTGGCACGAGCTCCAAAAAGGTTATGTCCCGAATGACTTCTGATGATACCCATTTTTTTGGCCACGAAATAAAAACCCATTGATCCTGAAAATATGCACCCCCACCTTTAGACCCATCTCCGCCTGCACTGTCTGTATACAACTGTAACTGATGAGAGGTAGACCAGAATTTGTCTGGAAAGCTACAGTAGCCATTAAATAGATCCAGAAATATCAACCAGGTTTTAATATCCTCTTTCATTCCATTAGTGACTCTCACAAAATGGTAGCTCCTTTGTACGCCAGACATGGCTGTGTAAAAACGCCGTATGAAGGCGCGCCCTGGCGGTATGGCTCTAACACAAAAATTCAAGAGTCCGGCCAAGGACTGAAGCTTATCTAAAGTGACTTTTTTTAGTCCCATGACCTCCTGCAACAACTCCCTTAACGAAGCCAACTTATCCTGTGGAATACGAATCTCCATTTTATTGGTGTCTATCTCTAAACCTAGGAAAATCAAAACTGGTGTTGGTAATACAGTTTTTTCTTCTGCTATGGGAACCCCAATTTCCGAACAAACATGAGTGAAGTTATGCATAAGCTCAAGGCAGGCAGAGGAATCAGCCCTGCCTGCAAAGAAAAAATCATCTAGATAATGGTCAAGGTCAGCCTTATGATCCAGCCCCCCAGCTGACTTCCTCTCCCTAACTAGCCATTCTAAAACTGAAGAAATTTTTTCAAAAAGGGCACATGAAATTGAGCAACCCATTGGTAAGCACTTGTCCACGTAATATTGTTCCCCAAGTTGGAAACCCAGTAAATTGTAATCGGACGGAATGACCGGCAAGAGCCTGAATGCAGACTTTATATCCATCTTACCCATTAGTGTGTTGGGCCCGAGCTTTTGAACAATAGCAATGACGTTATCAAAACTTGAGTAACAAACTTTACATAATTCTTCATTGATAAAACTATTAACACTTTGATTCTTTGGGTAGGAAAGGTGTTGAATTAGTCTCCAAGACCCATCTTTTTTTGGCACTAAACCTATGGGTGAAATCCTCAGATTTGGCACAGGTAGACTATCAAAGGGGCCTGCGATTCTGCCTAAAGAGATTTCTTTTTTGATTTTCTGCAATGCTGCCTCCTCGTTACCAGTAATGGATTTCAAATTTTTACATGATATGTGGACTCTAGGTCCATTATACTGTAAAGAAAAACCTGACTTAAAACCTGACACTAATTCTTCGACTAAGGCCCTGTTAGGGTGATCTTGTAACAATATATTCAAAATAGCATAATCAATTGGTGTGTGCCCTGGGGTTGACAGACTGGAAATTTCCTTTTGTTTGAGATTGCTTACTGCCTTGGGGTTGAGTACTGCCTGACCTAAAGGAAGAATTAAATGCAGACTGAGATTGGGCTGATTTCATACAATTGATTTTTTTGTGATTGCCATTGCAAGTTAAGCAAAGGTGTTTGAAGAAACAAGGACTCCTGTTACAATAGCCATTATTAAAATCATAACACTTTTTAAGATTGACTTGGGCTTGTTTTTGAACTTTATTTACTGTTGCAGAATCATACATGTATATCAACCATAACTCTTGATCGATCTGATTCCATGGTTTGGTATAAATCTGGGCCTTCCTGAGCCTAAATTGCTCATCGTAAGCCTTCCATGACAACCCAGTTACCCTTTTGGCACCTGTCCTTACAGAGTGCATGTACTTGAGCAAGCCGGAGATATCCTCCGGGTGCTCAGAGGTGTAAATAGACATGAAAATTATAAAAGCATCGGTCCATTGGTCGATGTCATTGATACGAACAATTTTTCTCTTCTCTTTAGCGACTAATTCCCCATTAATAATGGAGAAATGTTTCTCCTCACTGATGGGTGTAGGCTTAGATAATAACTGCCCTAAATCTACAAATTCATTGTTTATTATCTTTAGACGCAGAGCACTTGTAACATTAGCCCCTAAGTCGTCATGTACACTATTTATTTGGTGGAGCATAGGGTTAAACCCATCTTGTAACGACTGAGGGTCAGGGCATGCATTACCTTCAGTGTTAGGGACCGGTCGGTCCACCGCCTGCTGCACCGCTTCAATTAGTTGAGGTGCAACCTTTGATGACACCAATTCCGCAACCTCATTTAATTGATCATCACTCAATGGCTGGTGACTGGACCCCTGGGTCTCAGCATCTGACCTGGGCCCACGCCCCCTCGTCTCAGACTGAGGTTGTGCCGTTCTAGACCTGGCATAGGGACTGGTAGATAATCGAGCTGGACGTTTTCCCTTCCCCCTCATGCTGCGTGACCAGATTTAATGCAAACACTGAAACTCAAATAAATAAATGTCAGTATAACGAATACATTGCAGATTTTTACGTGTTAAGTCGGCAACCTGATCGCTCGTTGAAACGCTGAGTGACAACGAGGAACAAATTCTGAACATGTACCTAGCATATATCAACTTGTAATTACTATGTCTTTGGCTGGTAGTACTGAATGTAATTATAAATCCACCGATGACCAGTGAGCCCCTTGCTCAATTCGAGACATGAGATCAACAACTTTGAAAATAATAAAAAAAAAAAAAAAATATATATATGAGTTTTGATAGTCATACTGGACGTAAAAGTGCCTTGTGAGAATGTAAGTGCAGATTTGCTTCACCTTTAGTATATATGTATACAGTATCGTAACTTATCTCGCAACGAAAATTGTGCCCACTGCGAGACCAAAGGCGCCATGCGGGCCCCTCGCAAAGTATAATAATCCAATAACATCCGACTGGATACAAACCCAAACCGTATACAATAACGATAGATTGTTTGTTAAATAGATAAACAAACGGATGGCGGATCCTTCAACTTGAGAAAACGGATCTCTTTTCAAATGTTGGCAAATTTTGATAAGAAACGTGTTGACATCAGCTATCCCAAATGGCGTGGTTAAAAATTGTGACCTCCAAAACTAAAGATTTCCAATATTAGAATACTGAACGGCAGGAGTTGTCGTTCGTAAGTTTTTGCTGTAATTGGTCAAAGGGAGACAACTTAGGAGTACAATATAGATGCTTGATACTCAAGATCGCACAAAGAGGGGGAGTTGATATTCATTTGATAAACAGAATTAATTTTAAATAAATTAATTCCCATTATATGAAATTAACAAACATTAAGCTAATTACTGAATTTAGAAACTTTAACCATATTTAAACTCTAACAAGATCAGATTAAACAAAATCTTATATCAGTCAAAAATGATTAACAATAGTTCCAATACTAATAATTGTAGTTTGTACTTAGCTACAAATTATCAATGTTCATTATTTTTCCTGAAACAAAAATAGCAAAAGTTCATATAACACAATTTCCGAAACTGACTAGAATTCCTAAATTACTTGATTTAGAAGAATTATACTAAGTGTTATTACGAGTGTCCACAACATTCCTGGAAAAGTTCTACTTTCACAAAGCGTTTCGCTTTACGATCTAAGACATTTGGTAGTCTTTGAACTTAGCTGGTAATTGTTTAACTCTACCAGACCTTCTGAGTTGTCCGTTCACATTTTCGTTCGCGTCCTCTATTATCTCCTCCTCCAGTTCATCCTCCTTACTTTCCATTTCCTTGTCCATTGTGTTTTCCAGTTCAATTTCTTTTGGTTTGTCATCCTGCGCGTCATTGTCTCGATATTGTTCGGTCTCATGTCTTTCGTTGTATTTCTTAAGAAACGTTACATTTCGTTTTACTCTTTGTCATCCTTTCATCTCGAATGTCACATTATTTCCAGCTTTTCCTATGACTTTTGCGGGATCAGAATAAAACGTTGGGAGACATTTTATTCTCACGTGGTTGCTTTACCAACACTTTATCCCCTACTTTGATGTCACTTTCCTGTGCTCACCTCTTTTGGTCACTATACAACTTTCCTGACTCTTTCCTTACTTTGTCTCGATCTCTAATTTCAATGTCAAATCGTGTGGACGGTCGGTATTCTTGTAAACCAGGGATTTTGGACCTGATTTTCCTTCCAAAAATTAGTTCTGCTGGGCTTACTCCAGTAACTGAGTGTGGCGTAGATCTATGCATAGTAAGGTAAGTTAGTAACTCTAACTTCCAGTTCCTATTCTCTGCCTGAGCTATCCTAATCCTTTTCATCAAAGATCTATTTTGACGTTCAACTTCTCCATTAGCTTGGGGCCATACAGGAGTTGTACAATGATGCTCGATTCCATTCTGCTCAAGGTAGTCCTTAAAAATTTCACTCCTAAATTGTGGTCCATTGTCCGTTGTGACACTTATCGGATTGCCATGCGTACAAAATACACCTTTGAACAGTTTTATTGTTTTCTCAACCGTTGTGGATTTTGTTGTAACCACTTCAACCCAACGCGAATAATAGTCTACAAACACCAATATGTAGTCTCCTGAAGGTAATCCAAGGTAATCTACAGCAACGTGCTGCCACGGACCAGATGGAAATTCTGTACGACTCATCGGTTCTGGTTTTGAAGGCATACCGACTAATTGGCATCCATGACAACTTTTACAAAATCGTTCGACTTCGTTTTCCATTTTAGGCCACCATACTTTGGTTCTCAGTCATTGTTTCATAGACCCTGCAGGTAGGGCGTAAGAATTGTACCTGCTGCCCCCAATTGCATGATCGTAAGAGGCGACTAAATTTTGGACCTTATCTCTTCTCTTCTTTCCAAATAACTTTCTTCTTCCTAATGTCTCCCTTGACAATGCCTCACTTTTGGCCATTTGTTGAGCGTTCGCCCCTGTGAGGAAGGCTTTGGGTTCTGTCCCCTGGCCGAGACATACCAAAGTCTTTAAAAATGGTAGTTTATACTCCTGCTTAACGCTCAGCAAATTAGGAGTGGGACGACTGGTTCGCCCGTTGTCAGTATAATGTGACCGGGTG